TGGCAGCCCTAATCATGTAGCACCACAGCACAGTGAGCATAAACATCTTCTGCAAAACCAGCAGGAAGGTAGAAATGAGTGTCAGAGGAGATGCAGCAAAGTCGCTGTAGGTCTTCAACGTTAACCAGTAAGAGTGACGTGGCCGGCTTGGATTCCTCGTGGAAGATCAGCCATCAAATATTCATCAAGCCCATAACTTATCAGCCTTCTGTATCTGACTCTGGGATTTATTTGCTCTGCTTCAGCTCGAAGCACTGACAGAAACTCCCCCACATGATTCTGTTAGAGAAAGGGAGACCAGTTCACTTACTGGAGTGACTCTGCCGATGGCTCATGATGCACACTGTGCACATACGCTGTCCTTTCTTCTGCCCCAGGTATTTGGGAGGCTTAAGACCCCACGCCCAGCTCACTGTTAGCTCGGTAATCAGATCAGGACAGCGTAGCGTCACTTCAGCAGATGTCCGAGGCTTTGCTTTGACTCTTCTGTGCTGAGGACTCCGGCTCGGGGCTTCTTTTGTCTCCGGGGATCAGAGCCGTGTGCACCCTGCTGGGCAAAGTTATTTCAGCTTCACAGTTTGAATCAGCACTTTGCTCACTGGTTAAAACTCCTCTTATTATTTAAAGGCAGACCAGATTTGCTGGACATTTCACCCTGATATTCTACTCTCACGGCGTTGGGTGGGGGCCGCTAGTTTTTATTCCCTCGTTGACTGAAAAGCATTGTTTTACGTCCGGACTCTGACTTTCAGGGTCTTTTCCTTTTACTGTCCGGGAGAAAGTTTTTGCCTTTTCCTTCTTTATGCTGACTCTCAGCCCTTTTTCACCTTGGATCTGAGCAAGTGTCGTGTGGGCAGGGCATGTAAAATATATGGCCGTCACCCTGGGCCCGCTGACTGGCTGGCACAGGTTCTGTTCTGTCCCAGTGGGCTTGACAGAATGGCTGTGATGGGAGGAAAGTGCTGCCTTCTGGCTTTAAGAGTGCTGACATCTCCATGCTGCTCCTCACATGCACTCGCACACCTCC